GAGCAATGGTGGAGCCTGAATGTGAAGGATGGTTCCTACAGCCATGGCTCAGAAGCCACCTCTACCTGAGTGCCACGGAGAGCCATAGGCAGGGCAGGAATGTCAGGGGAGGATGAATACTGCAGAGAGAGGGGATGAGGACAGGTGAGAGGGAAAGGGAAACTGAGGGGACAAGGACACAGAGACAGCCAGAGACTGTCCAGATGGCTGGTCTGCCATCCTTAGTCCTAAGTGATACTCCGAAACTCCTGGAGAGTCACTGTTGAGTGGTGGTAGCACAGTAAGACTTCTCCAATAAAGCGTGTCAAAGGATGGAGGGGATGGGCTCTATTCCTTCCCAGGTTTCTCTTCTCACTTCCAGGCCCTTCTCTAGCTCCCAGGATGGGGCTTTCTGACTGGTACTATAAGACCACACCCACACCAGCTGGCTCTGGGAAGGCTAGAAGTGCCAAACTCTGTCAGGTCCAGACTAGGCTGTTGTCACTTGCTCACTGTCCAGCTGCTAGCCAAGAGTCTGTCCTTGGCTGCAGATTCCTCTTGCCCCCACTCACTCCCAGCCTAGAGCTGGCTGCCTCTTCTGAGCTGAGTCATGGCATCCCAGTCAGGGTTAGGGAGACTTACTCCACCCTCACCCCTATCCCAGCATTCCAAGTCCACAGGGCAAGGGTCCGGAGAGCCACAGGGTCAGCCTGGAAAGTTCTTCTATTCTCTTGTACTGAAGCTCAGAGAGAAAATAATAACCAGGTTCCTTTCCTCCCATCTTGCTGTCTATCCAGGACCTGTGAAGGGCCCCTGATTTGGAAGACAGAACAAGGCCAGGAAACAAGTTTGCTGGCAATTTAGCAGGTCACACCTCTGAATCTGTCACGGGTCTCCCCACGTCTGGCACAGGTTAAGGAAAGTGACTGTTCCATGGAGAAGCAGAGCTGTGTGTAGCTAGATTCTAGATGGTGAGCAGGTGCTGGGCATGGGACCCTGGCAGGTGAGCATGTAACCTATTGGAGTCCATCCTGCTGAGACTCAGTGGAATTCGAATTTCTCTGGCCTCACGCCTTAGTTTCCCCACCTGTACAGTGAGCCTCAGGAAGGGATCAGTTAGATGTTTCCTGGCTGTAGGGCATCGACATTCCAAGATTCTGACCTTGTGACCCCAGGACTGGGCCTCCTACTTGGGTATCTTGTTTATTCGGAACTTGGTGGGACTGGAGCTGGTAATACCAAGTGCACCAAGTGCCCCTTTGAACCGCAGCTGGCTTTCTCCCCTTCCATATCGTTGCATTTCTGCCTGGCCTGCCCTCTGCCTCCACTCCATGCTATCAGAACCTTCCACATTTGAAACCAGCTCGGTGGCAGCCCTTAAGCCTGCACATGGTCTCATTCTCATTCTTACAACGTGGTTTTATCTTCCTGCCATTTGTACTCCTGCCCTCCGAAGTTTGTCTCTGAAACTTGCCCCTTCGGCCCCTCCAACATGCAGTCACCAAGTCCCATTGACTTTCAGCTACATTAATCTCAAAGCCATCTGTTTCATCAGCCCCTACCAACTGCCCTCTGTCCAGCCTGCAGGGGTGGCAGGCAGTGGAGAGGCCATGCTGCCTCATTTCAGTCTCTATTTCCTTTTGTTTGGTCTGCATTTCATGACAATATACCAAAGCAGACTCCTCCTCAGTTTCCTTAGCTATAAAATGGGGATAATCATTCTCTACTCACAAGCTGTCAGAGGATGAAGGGAGACAATGAATGCCAAATGCCACACAACAAATGAGGCTTTTAGCTCGACTTTTGGTGACTGTGGTCCTGTGTACACACGTTCTCTATAAGTCCTATGTGGAGGGGGGGTGGGTACATGGGTGACTGTTATACATGAGTGCATTTCTGGTGGACACATGGTAAAGAACCCAGCCATCCGTCTGTGCAGTGTGCACGTGTCCTGGGCACTGAGGGAGCTGTGTGCACGTGTGTCTTCTGTGGGCATGCATATGGTTCGTGCTTGCCTGAGGGCTGGGCACACACCCGAATAGCTACACATGTGTATGTTGTAGAAGAGCGTGTGAGAGAGAGCGTAGGCAGCATCTGGGCTGTGTGCATGTGTTCACCGTGTGCAGGCCTCCCTCTGGCAGCAATGCAGCCCCCCCCCCCACTTCCCAGACTGCTTGGGTGGGGGGAGCCACGGGACCCCGAGGGAGGAAAGCTGATGCTGGCGGATGTGGCCAAGATGGGCTGGATTTATTTAGATTAAGTTGGTGGGAAAGGAGTGGGGACTTGTATGTGCTTGTGAGCGGGAAGGCTGGGGCTCTGAGGATGACTCCCAGGCATGCTTGCTCCCTTGGGCATAGGGCCTCACTGTGATTCCCTAAGGAGTGCTTCAGACTGCTGTGAGAAGCTGAGCCACCCCCCTCTCTGAACCTGGCCTGAACAGGGGCAATGCCGTCAGGACAAGTCATCTGGCTGCCTGGTCCTTCCTGGGGTTGCTCAGAATATAGAAGCTCCTGGAAGCACAAAATGTTCCATAAGGCACTGAATGGAAAGCTAGGTCCAGAGCCATTGAGATAGCCAGGAGGTAATGCTGGGTACCTGATCCCCACTCTGATGAGTCCTTGGCCTGTAGCTTGCTTTCCATGCTACCCCAGAAACACCCCAGGTTCATTTGGTGGGAAGTCACCTGAAAAACCATCTAACTCCCGGTGGTACAGTGGAGGAAAATGAGGCCATTTAGACAATGTGTCCGAATCTATACACTAGGTCAGTGGGATGAGATGTGTCATGGATTCCCAGGTACTATGGCCTCAAACATGCCATCTGCATTCCTGATCAGTCATTACATCTGCAGGTCACACCATTGAGAATGATGGTGGCCAGAACCTTCTCTTTGAGGAGTCAAAAAGGTAGAATTTTTGAATAGTGGCAACTCTTTGAGATGACCATCACAGAGCCAGGTGGAGGTGGTGGTGGTGGTGGTGCATACCTTTAATCACAGCATTGGAGAAACAGAGGCAGGTAGACATCTGAGTTCAAGGCCAGCCTGGTCTACAGAGCTAGTTCCAGAACAGCCAGGGCTATACAGAGAGACTCTGTAAAAAACAAACACACACACACACACACACACACACACACACACACACACACAAAAA